TAAATAGATATATTTTTTTTTTAGCCTGGTGTGTAACAAGCTACACCAGGCTTCCAAAAGTCCCCATTCAGCTAACAGCAATTCTGCATTTATCTTATTGTCTATGGAAGTTGAGTGTATTATGCTCTTTACCCTCCAGGCTGAAAACAGTATCTGTCTACATAAAAACAAAACAGCCACAAAGTTTGCAGTTTCTACAGGCAAATAATAGCAGGGGGTGCTGTACGTCAGCATTAAGGTGCACTGGCAGAGGTAAGTGAGAGACCAAGACACGAGTAGCAACGATCAGGGTACATGGGTAGAGCCATGCTGCACTTCTCAGCACTATGCTCCTGTCCTCAGTGCTACTAACCAGGATGTAGTATATTTAATCCAACAAATTAATGTTGAAAATATAATTGCTCCCTGGCTCCCACCATCTCTACACTACCTTTGATACAGTGCAGTTAGATGGTTAAAACCTTGCATGAGAATCCACCTGAGTCCATTGAGTCTGCACTGGTTGAATGGTTTGGTCATTGAATGGAGGCTGAAGGACTGAAAGCAACAGTTTCTGATGAAAGCCCAGAGAGAGCATCATAGACTCTGCTAAAGCTGTTGCTCGGTGACAGATTCATAGGAAGCCGGGCCGAGCCAAGAATCGGAAACTGGTGGCCATCGGATCCTCAGCCAGCCAAATGCTTTCATGGGCCTCATGTTATTGAAGTGTTTCCCCTCCTGTTAGGGCTTTCCTTGTGCTAACGATGTACAGAAATGGTGGGTCAAAGTGAAATTAAATAATAAAAACCACATTGCGTAAGCGGGATTCTCTCTTCAAAATAAAAATAGCAGCTGGCTCCTGAACGTTGATTTCACATACTCTGCAACCACTTTTGTGTGTATGAATAATTCTCTCATACCTGCTGGGATTCCTGCCAAACTTTGATGGAACAACAGATCCATCTAGGTTTCTATAAGGTTGCCTATAACTGTAGTATCTGAGCACCTATGAGGCATTGGGAGAATGATGGATTGGAAAGTCTAATTTACATATGCTTATGCAAATTAGATACAGAGAAAATATAAGGTATACATACCCTCATGCTTCTCGGCATAAACCAGCCACCAACTGATGCAGTCAGGAAGAAATGTCCCCTAGAGGCATGTTATTCCATACTTCTCCACTATGGGAATTCTTGTATCTTCCTTTGAAGTGGCTGGTACTAGCCACTGTCAGAGACAAAATATTGGATTAGGAGGGCCTCATATTTGATCCAGTCTGCCAATCCCTAAATTCCTGTATTTGTCCTTCTCACAGACAGAGAACTGAGAGATCAGTAGAATGGTCTCCAAATTGCCTTCATGGTTTCTTCTTTGCCGGGGGAAGGACAGTCTGCTTGAGCTTGGTGCTTGTCTACCAGTGTGTGCAGGCATAGAACAAAGACCTCAGTTAAGCAGCCACAGAGCTTAAGCAACAGCACTTGTAGAAGTACTGATGGTTGAGGTATCCTGGAAAATAAGGGTGGCTTAGAGGAATCATAGAATATTAGGATTGGAAGGGACCTCAGGAGGTCATCTAGTCCAACCCCCTGCTCAAAGCAGGACCAATCCCCAACTGCATCATCCCAGCCAGGGCTTTGTCAAGCTGGGCCTTAAAGACCTCTAAGGACGGAGATTCCACCATCTCCCTAGGTAACGCATTCCCATGCTTCACCAACCTCCTAGTGAAAAAGTTTTTCCTAATATCCTAATAAGCAGAACCTGTGAGATTCTAGCAGGTCTGACCTCAAACAAAGTAGAAAAAAACAGATTGCAGTTGTCAGACTGCACGAAAAAGATTAGACTGAAAATGTCTTTTAGCTCCATTAGCATTGAATCAGAACATGCATTTAAACATCCTAATGTAAACACCAATGAAGTTCCCCTTCTCTCTTCAGGCATAATCCTCACAGCTGATACCTAGTGACCAGAGAGAGAAAGGTCTCTCCTCCCTCACACAACCTTTAATGTAATTAACCACACAACATCCCTGTGAGGGAGGGCAGTGCTATTATCCCCATTGTACAGATGGGCAACTGAGGCACAGAGAAGCTAAGTGACTTGCTCATGGTCACACAGGAAGTCTGTGGCAGAACAGGGACTTGAACCAGGTCTCCAGCTAGTGTCCTAATCACTGGGCCATCCTCCCTCTTTGGGACTGAGGTTCCCAAATTACCCTCTGTCCTACGAAAACCTCAAACTTTTAGGGGATATGTTTGGTCCATTTGTACAAGGGCCTGGATCTATGTATTAAATACAGCAGGGTCCACATGCACATTCTTTATAGAGTAATCATTGGCCCGTGCCTCGTCCAGCATGAGCAGCACCTTCAATTCTTCATTTCTTACATGAACAGACCAGATGGGAGGAAAGCTTGAGCACGACCCTTTCCAGACCAGTGAACTGTAAAACAGGCTTAGTTACCAGACAAGCTTTAACATGCTCGTGAAGGAATACTGAACTGCGTAATGCTAATACCCTGCACTTACATAGCACTGTTCATCTGACTTGGACTTCAGAACATTTTGGAAAGGTGGGTATGATTCTCATCTCCATTTCACAGAGGATGAAACTGAGATGCGACTGGCCCAAATTCACACACGGAGTCAGTAGCACAGATAGGACAAGAACCCAGGAATCCTGACTTTAATCTGTTTCTTGGAACCACAATGTAATGCTCAGAAGAAATAATAATAATAAACACACTATTTCTGTCATTATCCAGTCGGAGTCTATAGAACTGGGATAAGATACGACTGAGCTTTCTTAATGAAAGAGTCTGAGAGCTGCATTATAAAGGTCTAATTAAAAGGCTAAGTAATATTGCAGGTTAACTAAGGCAACTTTTGAAGATGATCTGTGAAGGGGAAAAATTGGCCTTGAGCCCATTTTCAGTTGCTTTATGGTGCACAAAGAAGGCCTGAAAGGGGTTGGTTCTTATTTCCTGTTCATTTTTAGATAAGAAATTCACATGCTGTCCAGGCTTGAAAGCTCTATGACTGAAAAAAAAAAAAAAAAAAAAAAAAAAAAAGCATACCTGGTAATAAGATGAGAAAAAAGAGAGAAAGTTGAGCTGTTAAGAAAAGAGAGGATTTTTAATCAGACTGTTTAAAACTTTTTGGTTATTTGTGTTATTTAACTTCCTACTTGCATTCAATGACCAATTAACATTTTGGATAAAAGAAGCCTTTGATAAAATCATCTCTATCTCCCTTCAATTAAAGTGTTAAGAGCTCATAATGAGCATCCTTCAGATCAAAACCAGATTTGAATTACCTGAGGGCTTGTCTACATGAAAAAGTTTTGCCAGTTTAATTAAGGTGTGATTTAAAAGGATTAGTTAAACTGGTTCAAATCCCTCACCGGGTGCTCTTATTTTGGTCTAAGAGCAGCTTATTTTGGTTTAGTTTGTTGCTTGGGAAGAGATTTAAATTAAACTGAAAAGTCAAAACTAATTTAAATTAAAATGGTAAAACTTCTCCATGCACACAAAGCCTAATATTTCTAAGCTAAAATAACAAATTGGGAAAATATAAAACAAACAAAAGATTCATAGATACTACGGTCAGAAGGGACCATTATGATCATCTACTCCGACCATCTAGTAGTATCCATGCTGCAGTATGCAGATCCGAGTCCAGCCAACCATATCCCAGACTTCCTAGTGCCCTCCTGAAATGCACCCACTCTAGCCCTTGGTTCATGGCACAGTGTGGGAAACTTGACTGTTCACCAAACTAGACTGTCCAGAGGACACAGATCCTTGGCCCATAGGATTATGGGATACTTTTGGTTAACTGCCACGGCACAAGTCCAGTAGGTTTGCATCTACACAGCAAAGCAATAAATAAGCCTTAAACCTTGGGGTCTAGCTTGAGTTCAGCCCCTCTACCTCCCACGGGGTCCTGGAACCCTGGGCCCAAGCCTCAGGTTAGCGTGATTTGTGTGTAGACCGGTAGGGGTGAAAGAAGGGTTCGACTGGCGCCAGAGTTCAAACCCCAGCTGACATGCAGTGTAGACACACCCTTTGAGTGCCAAGTTAAGCCCCCGCGGCTGTCACAGCAGGCTAGGGAAAACCTGGATTTGTGCTGGAAATGGCCCATATTAATGATCACTTTAGATAAGCTATTACCAGCAGGACAGTGGGGTGGGAGGAGGTATTGTTTCATATTCTCTGTGTATATATAAAGTCTGCTGCAGTTTCCACGGTATGCATCCGATGAAGTGAGCTGTAGCTCACGAAAGCTCATGCTCAAATAAATTGGTTAGTCTCTAAGGTGCCACAAGTCCTCCTTTTCTTTTTGCGAACACAGACTAACACGGCTGCTACTCTGAAACCTGCAGGCTAGGGGGTCAGCTTTGCCCTGCCTTGGAATCCGCAGTGCAACCCAACCAGCCCTCGCCCATCTCGCTCCTCCTGGGTGGTTTTTGAAGCGGCCCATCCGCTTTGCCGACCGGGCCCGTCCTCCTGCAGCCTGCACCTTCCCTGCTTGCCGCATGCCAGCCCCTTCCCCGTGGGGCCCTGGGCCGCGGGCTGGGCTCAGTTTACCTGCCCGCCCAGCTCCGCTCCTGGGCTTTCCGCTTTCCTCATTGGTTCAGGGCTCTCCCTTGGAACCAATCGCAACCCCTTTGCCCTGCCCTAGATTTCTGCCCGCTCTTCGGCGGAGGAGGTAAAAAGTTTGGCTTTCGGCCTCAACTTTTCGGGCGGCTCCGCGAAGCCCGCAAACGGACCGGGGAATTTGTCGCCACAGCGGGAGGCAATGCCCCGATTGCCTCGGCCGCATTAGCTGCAGGCATCGCTGCGCTTGGGGCGGGCGGCGATCGCCGTAGCCGGAGGCCCCCGCTTACTTTGCCTTCGCGGGCGCTGCGCTGCTTCGGAAACTTGCTCGCTTTGCATTCGTCGCCCGCCTCGCCCCAGCTGGGCGGATTGCCCCCGGCGGCGCGCTCCGTCCCGGCCGCCCGCCCCTCCGCCCGCGGGCAGCATGGCGGTCAAGCGGCGCAGAGGCGGCCGAGGGCGGGCTGAGAACGGCGCGGGCGCTCCGGGCTGGACGGGGGAGCGGGCGGCCGCGGGTCCCGCTCCCGGGGAAGCCTGGGCTTGGGGGTGCCGAGCCGCGCTGGCGCTGCTGCTGCTCGGGGTGGCCGCCGCCGGGGTGGCCCTGCTGGGCTGGCTGCTGGTGCACCAGCTGGGGGCCCTGGAGCAGCTGCGGGAGGCGCTGGGGAAGCTGCGGGGCCGCCTGGCCGAGCTGGAGGCGCTGCGGGAGCAGGAGCAGGGGACGAGAGAGCAGGTAGCGGGGTGCTCGGGGGTGGGCCAGGGTCCGCGGCTCCGGCAAGGGGGGGGGGCGACCCTCAGGTCTTGGGGGGGGGTGAGTGATTTGGGAGCAGGGGGCTGTTGTCTTTACATGCATTGTATTCGAGTGTCTCGGGGTGGGGGCGGCTGTTCTCGCATGCATGGGCTGTTGTTGGAGAGCTGCAGCTGCCTGCCCCGGTGGGGGCTGCTATTGAGTGGGGGCAGCACAGAGAGCAGAGAACCGTCTCGCTGCCTGGGGGGACGTCCCATGCAACACCACAAGACATTTTTCCAGGCTCTGCGGATCCACTGACTCCCAGCTGGGCAGGGGGGTTCCATGGAGGTCGCTCTCCCCAGCTCTAGTTTGTATTCTTCACCTCTGAGCCCCTTGTGTGCCCTCCTGGCTCTCTGGGGCTGTTCTAAATCCATGTCCTCTTCCAGCTCTGCACCCTGGATATCCTGCCTACGCCCCATGGTCAGAGAAATGGGGAACCGCTGCTCTAGAGGCTCTCCCAGCTGTGTGCAGGGTAAGGGAGGGAGGCTTGTGAAAGAAAGTACAGCTGTTGGTTTTGGTCCAAAATCAAGGAGGTACTTGAGAATGATAATGAACACGACACAGGTAGCATCCCCAAACAACCCCCACACTTCCCCCAGAAATTCACAGCTGTGGTTTCTCCAATCGTAGCTATCCATGGATTAGTGGGGCAGGAATGCTTAGTGTGTGAGCTGAGACATTAGGATGGCTTCTTCTCTTGCCCTGCCTGCAGCAGGGCACAATGGGTTAATAGAACTGATTTCCATATTAGGGTGGAAATGATCTCAGTCTGTGGATCAAGATCCTGGGTGAGTGAACGTAGTGGCATGAACAAAGGAACTCTGGCCTGGTTGTCAGTCTCTTTGTTACAAGTCGTAGGCTGGACTGCCAAGTCCAGGATGAGATGCAGTGGGGAGTAGGGCTGGAATGGTACTGGGTTATGGGGAGCTGGCATTATGGTATGGAGGAAGCTTCTCGGCATGTGGCTGCACTGTTACTGGTTTTATCCAATTCTTGCTGGCATTGAAATTCATCTGTGGCTGTGTGGTAATGACACGCTAAAGGAGTTTGCCTCTTGGAGCAGAACCTCGACCCATCTGGGACACATTCTTCTCCTGGTTCTCCCTCTGGGGCAGCGCAGCTCCCCACAGTCCCTTGTTCTGGGCGCTGTCGTTGTGGTCCAGCCCTACGTTCCTTCTGAAGTTACTGAGACCGTCACGTGTTTGAGGGCAGCAGAATCTATTGCTGTTTCTTATCACGTGCTTGCGCTGCATGTAAGGATGGGTGGTGTCTACATGACATAAGCTTTAGACCCATTTGCTGTATGCACCAGAAATTATTCCAAGTGCAATGACCTAGGTCAGTGGCTCTCAACCAGGGGGGAAGAGTACCTCTGAGGGTACTCAGAAGTTTTCCAGGGGTACATCAACTCCTCTAGAGATTTGCCTAGTTTTACAACAGGCTACGTAAAAAGCACTAGCGAAGTCAGTACAGACTAAAATGTCCTAGACACTGACGTGTTTATAGTGCACTGTACACCGAAATGTAAATACTCTCTATCCCAATTGATTTATGTTATAATTATATGATAAAAATGAGGAAGTCAGCAATTATTCATAACAGTGTGCTGTGACACTTGCATTTTTACATCCGATGTAAGTTTTTAAGTGAGGTGAAGCTTGGGGGGTACACAAGACAAGTCAGACTCTTAATAGGGGTACAAAGATCTGGAAAGGTTGAGAGCCACTGTCCTTGGTATTCATCTGGGGTGAATGCAGAGGTCTTTAAAATAGCCTCTAAAGAGGGCTTAGGTGGTACCTAGGTATAGTGTCTGTCTGTCCGTCCGTCCCCCAGCACAGGGAATGAGTTTCATTCTTGGTAGGGAGGCATTGACAGAGCAGTGGTCTGATGGAATAAAACCGGTCCTCTGCCCTGCTTTTGAAGGTGTCCAATGCCTTATGCTTTAGAGGACAGTGCTGGAGAAACCTGTGACTTACTTTGTTGGTAGTGTTGGTGTTGAAGCAAACTTTGTTGGCTACAAAATGAAGACCCAAATCCTCTCTCGACTTCCTGCTTGGATGTAGGCTACTGCTTTTTGCGAATACAGACTAACACGGCTGTTACTCTGAAACCTGCTTTATAGTGGTTACAAGTATAACGTACTGGTAGACTTTGCCATTTTGGCTTCTTATTGCAGGAGTGATGTCTTGTCTCTTTAAAACCTCACTTTATGTAATGGGAAGGACTCCGTTAGCGACTCAAGAACAGTCCCTGCAACTCCCTGGCCCCCAGCTATGAAGACTTTACAGGTTGCTGGCTCATATATAAAGCATGTTATTTTCTTAATGCTGCACCGTGAGTCCCATAGGCCTATTCCCCCTTCCCCCAATTGTACACCTTTAAAAACCCAGTATTTAGGGTTTGGTAGCACAAGGGGTGAGGTGGAATTAATTCCTTATCCATATTTTTCTTTTTAACCCTGCAGTATATTTACAGTTGGTGGGAACTGGCGGGCTAGAGGGTCCAGGGCAGGGAAGGAAGAGCTATCCGCTGCTCAGTAAGGATTCCCCTTGCTAAGCTGTGAGCAGAGTTGCTGAGTGATGGGGGGCCGCGGGTTGTCCGTGCTAGTCCTCCTCTGTCAGAAGGTTGTTATGACCTGGCCCACGGTTGCTGCGGGGAGGAAAATGGGAATGGAGACGAGGGAATGACATGCTGACTGATATTGTTTCCTTGTGCTACCAGCCCTCCCCCCATCAGCTTGCCTCTCACTGTCTCTCCTTGGGGCAGAGACCATTTTTTGTTCTGTTTTGTACAGTGCCTAGTAGGATGGGGGGTCGCTGTCCATGACTGGGACTCCCAGACACTGCAGTGGTACAGCTAATATCTAACAAAAGAGGAGGCAACAGATCCACCTTTTCCTCTCCTCCAAAATGGAAGCGTGTGTCTGGTGCTAGCTGCCACGTTGGGGCTGTCATTGTGCCAGACCCCCCCCCCATGTGTGATTAGACTCATGTGCATGCATGCACCCTGCTTGTGAGAAAATTCCCCTCTGGGCCGTCGTTCACTGCTGTCTGTCCAAGACGCTGCATGTGCTGGAAGGAGGGATGCAGCCCTCGGGAGCTGTGGCATGTTGTTTTCGAACAAGTGGCAGGCACCTGAACGTGAACCCGCTCTCATTAGCTCTGTGGCTGCTTGTGTGCCTGACGAATCCACAGCAGCGTGCAGGTCTAATCCCTGCGGAGTGACTCTGCGTTACTAGGGGTCTGTGCCTGTGTGGGGCCGTGGGCAGTGCTCTCCCTCACTGATGGGCCATGTGGCTAGAACTTGCAGAAGGGCAGAAGCACCCACAACTGGAGCCAGATTTTCAGGCGAGCTTGGCATATTGGGAGCTGAGATCTCCTGAAAATTTAACTATAAATATCACCGTGGGAGCTGCTGGGTGCGGCGCTTTTGAAAAGCCCAGCACCGGGCGCGCTGACCAGCAGCTGCGGGGACTCTTCAGTGAATGCTATCTTGCGTTTATAGGTCTCCCTTAATCCAAAGTGAACTACCTGCCTCTCACACTGCCAGAATGCAGCGCTGCCTGCGTAGAGGGTAGCCGTTGACTAGTGTACAGCCAACCACACAGCTGAGATGGTGGGAGGAATATTATCCAGTGACCAGTGGGGCAAACTCCTGCTCTCAGGCAGGGCTTTGGTCTCCACTCAAAGCCCAGTGCGCAGTAAACTACTAAGAACGGTATTTATCCATCTTGAGTGGTCAGAGTTGACCCTGCTGGGATGTGAACCTATCGCTCCAGAAGTGACGATATTTCACAGCTGAATCCGAGACTTCCGAGCCATCCCTCCTGGCTCGAGAAGGCAATGGGGTATGCTGGCCACAGACTCCAAATCATAGCATTGGGACAACAGAATGTAACCTCTTCCCCTTCTTCCTAAGCTTGCGTGGGAAGGCCCCGCTCACGCCTGGGAGGAGAGAAGTATGTTTTCCACTTCCTGCCATGTAGTGGCTCTTGGTTACTAGTAATATCCATCTGCTTGTTCAGTTTCACCAAAACTCTGGAACGTAAAGCAATCCAGCAGTGACCGCATAGGTTTATTTGCGGATCCAGCCAATGCCTACCCAGAATTAAAATGAATACACTTGGCACGTAATCAGTTCCAAAGTGGTCCATCGTTTTAAGTAAGCACCTACAAGTCTCCATCGGATGCATCCGTTGAAGTGAGCTGTAGCTCACAAAAGCTTATGCTCAAATAAATTGGTTAGTCTCTAAGGTGCCACAAGTCCTCCTTTTCTTTTTGCTAGAACAATGTGGTCACAAGTGGTCACTGATTTTTGGTGCCCAACTTGAGACCCCTGGGATCTGATTCCCCCCCCCCCCCACCCCGCCCCAGCCAAAATCAGTGGCCTCTTGTCACTCAGGCCAGTCACTACCCCAGGGCTAGATGGAGTGGTAGAGCTGGGATTAAAACCCTCAACCCTGACTTGCGCTCTCCCTAGTTAGAGACTCTTCTGTATGGTGGTGGTTTGACCCCTCTCTGTGACTGGAGAGGAACTTTCCAGCCAGCTGCACTAAGTTCTCTGGTCTGGACGCTGAAAGCATTTGCCTTCAGCTGTTTAAATTTGTTGAGGCCTTTCTTTAAGGGCTAGTGCAGGTGCTCAGAGGAGTTTCCTGTCACTTTATAAGAGTTCCTGTTTGTTTAGAAACGCGCATTGCACAAAAGTGTCCTAAATCCACTCCAGATGTGCAACTTTTGCTGCCGTTCCCTCACATCAGCCTAGGTTCCATCCATGCCCGCTTATCCCTGTCACAGTAGCATGGTGGGGGAACATACAAGCCAAGTGACTTCTGACCATGCGGCTTTCGCTTGCTCTCTGGTTCTTTCTGTCGATTCAGTCTTTTGTCCCTGTCATAAATAAAGGGAAGGGTAACTACCTTTCTGTATACAGTGCTATAAAATCCCTCCTGGCCAGAGGCAAAACCCTTTCACCTGTAAAGGGTTAAGAAGCTAAGATAACCTCGCTGGCACCTGACCAAAATGACCAATGAGGGGACAAGACACTTCCGAATCTGGAGGGGGGAGACAAAGGGTTTGTCTGTCTGTGTGATGCTTTTGCCGGGAACAGATCAGGAATGCGGCCTTACAACTCCTGTTAAGTTAGTAAGTAATCTAGCTATACTTGCGTTAGATTTCCTTTTGTTTAAATGGCTGGTAAATAAGCTGTGCTGGATGGAATGTAGATTCCTGTTTTTATGTCTTTTTGTAACTTAAGGTTTTGCCGAGTTGGATTCTCTCTGTTTTGAATCTGATTCCCTGTAAGGTATTTCCCATCCTGATTTTACAGAGGTGATTCTTTTAGTTTTTCTTTCTTTTAAGAACCTGATTGCTTTTTCATTATTCTTAAGATCCAAGGGTTTGGGTCTGTGGTCACCTATGCAAATTGGTGAGGATTTTTATCAAGCCTTCCCCAGGAAATGGGGTGTAGGGCTTGGGGGCATATTTTGGAGGGCAGACATCTCCAAGGGGGCTCTTTCCCTGTTCTTTAACACGCTTGGTGGTGGCAGCATAGGGTTCAAGGACAAGGCAAAGTTTGTACCTTGAGGAAATTTTTAACCTAAGCCGGTAAGAATAAGCTTAGGGGTCTTTCATGCAGGTCCCCACATCTGTATCCTAGAATTCAGAGTGGAGAAGAAACCTTGACAGTCCCAGCACGGTTACTCACTTCCTTTGCTAGTTAAATACTTAATCATAGAATATCAAGGTTGGAAGGGACCTCAGGAGGTCATCTAGTTCAACCCCCTGCTCAAAGCAGGACCAGTCCCCAATTAATAAGGCAGCTTGACTTGCTGTGGGTAAGGTTTGGATAATAACTCTTATACATTGATCCTGGTTAGCAGATAACTCTTTGGTCGCTGACTGAATGCTGCTCCAGCAGCCCCCTTTTCAATTCCTTTCTGGGGGGGGCTCAATACTAAGGAGAAGTGGGCCAGCTGTCGGGAACTGTTAATCTCAAGCCTGTTGTCTGGTCACTGGCACTCTGCAGTGTTACCAGAAGCAGTTTGATTGTCAGTGTTACAATGGGATGAGAGATCTCTCTGACCCAAAGACAGCTTGACAGAAAGGACTAGCCAGTTTGGTAATGGGATACAGGGGTGGCAGGTTTGTAGAAATTTTGGTGGTGCCCAGAGCCCGCTCCTGCCTAAGGCTCTGGGAGGGAGTTTGGGTGGGGGAGGGGGTCTGGGGGGCAGGCTCTGGGAGGGAGGTTGGGGACGGGAGGGGGTGCGGAGGGAGGGGGTGCAGGCTCGGGAAGGGATTTTGGGGGTGGGAGGGGGCTGTGGGAAAGGGGTGGGGATGCAGGTTCTGGGAGGAATTTTGGGGGTTTGGCACTTAGGCTCCTAGGCAGGGTGGGCTAAGGGGCCTCCACGCTCTGCTACCCCCAGGTACTGCCCCCGCAGCTTCCCATTGATGGCAGGGGTGCTTGGGGCGGGAGCAGCGCTTGTAGACCCAGACCCACCCCACCCAGGGGCCGGCAGCTGAGTGGAGCGAGCAGGCGGGAAGCTGCTCAGCTCCGCTGCGCTGCCGGTGGTGGGTGGGGGCTGTTTTAAATCGCCTGGGGGACACGTTGGGGGGGGAGCGGAAGGCGGGGCCGAGGGAGAGACCCGGTCTCAAACATTGCTCGAGCTGGGCCCCGGGCCAGGAATATTCCTGGTTCCCAGACACCACGGGCCCATAGAACTCCCCGCCCATGATGGGATACAGAACCTTCCAGTCTCAATCAGTAGTGACCGGAAGTGATTGCCAGCTCTCAGCTTTCACATATGTGGGGGGGCCCAGTCCAGGACCTGCTGGGCAGATCTGCCCAATAGAATCCAGCAAGGCCTTGGGAGACCACCATGATGTTACCAATGTAGACTCCCTAAACTGGCCTCCTTGCTGACAATTTCTGCATAGAGGCTGAAAACTCAAGAGACCCCCAGAGGGGGTCCCTGAAGGGGAGGACTGAGATGTATTAGTGGGGGGAAAATGCACTTCCACTGCTTAACTAAAGGACTCTGTTCTCCAGGCCTGTACTTGCCCCTGTGCTCCATGCCAGTCACTGAAGTCTTCATTTTCCAGCTTAACAAGCAAGGACGCTTCTTTCTGGGGGGTACCCACCCAAACAAGATGGAGATGCTATGCAGCTGACAGCACTTTATCTGTAGCCAAAGTCAGCCCACTGAAAGCTGGAGTTCCCCTGGTTCTGGTGCTCCTGGGTGTTGGTCATGATAGTTTAGGTTTTGGGTTTGTTGTTTTTTTTTTTTAATTGATGTCCCTTCAATTTCCACCATTAACTTGTGTGTGTTTCCTGCAGCTCCTGCCACGAGAATAGCCTCTGCTTCTGTTTCAAGGTTCTCGTGTGCAAGCAAAGAGCAGCAAGCATCCTAGGGGCCGGCTAACCCCAACAGAAACTGCTTCTCGGGGCGGCTTTTTAAAAATCTGTTGGTTTTGGTTTGGGGGAACTTAGTTTTGCAGCCTGACAGTGTTGCTTTTCATGAGCGTTCAGCCCTGCCAGATGGGAATGTAGATGTCTGTGCTAAGGTGTGACCATTCTATTTTTAGGAAAAAATTGAGTCCATTAGAGCCAACAATTATCTGTAGAGCCATAGCTTGGTCTAGTGAGTGATGACGGGCTGCTAAAATCTTTTGCAGCTCATTTCTGGGATTTGCCCAGTGTAATCCTAAATCCTGTAAATCAAACCTGACATTGAATGTTGTGTAGTGGTCCCAGCAGCTACAGCCTCCTGACTGAGCAGCCCCTTGCTTCTTATTTGCATCTTTTTTGAAGCCTGTTGTATGTTGCTTGTTTCAGTATCAATACCAGAGAGCGAGAGTGGCACAGGTTGTGAATTAACACCTCCCAAGATGCAGGGCTGGGTAGCCTTGCTGGCTGTAGGGTGTTCTTACTATGGCTAGACACACTGAAATCTGGCTTGATATTTAGTTGATTTGTCTGTAGTTTTGTGAAAATGTCTTCACAATTAAAAAAAAACAAAACAAAAAAAAATCCTTTTTTAAATGTCAGTAAATATTCCGTGCTTGTTGGGAACCAAACATGCCCTCGGGGAGAGCCTGAAAGGACATGGCCTGTAAAAGCAAAACCGGCTCTGTTTGTTTTGTCATCCAAGTGGAGGGAACCAGGGGCAGCACTGGATTTTTACAATGCGTCGCTTCCAATGATCATTCTAAGGGGCTGTTAATGCAGAGGTGAAGGAACTTGCTTACAAACAAGCTTTAAACTGATGGCTCCATTGAGCACTTGCTTTGCAGAGACCCCTCCAGATCCCTGGCCGTGACTCTGGAACGACTGTAGAAGAGGGCCCCAGAGAACCCTTCCCAGGATGGACATTGGTCTAATGCATGTTGTGATGGGATGTTTGAGCCAAAACTTCAAGAGCAGCACATTCATTTTGTAATGAAGCAAGTTCATGGAGGTTAAGTCATTAATGGCTATTAGCCAGGATGGGTCAGGAATGCTGTCCCTAGCCTCTGTATGTCAGAGGTGGAGATGGATGGCAGGAGAGAGATCACTTGATCGTTACCTGTTAGGCTCACTCCCTCTGGGGCACCTGGCATTGACCACTGTCGGTAGGCAGGATACTGGGCTGGATGGACCTTTGGTCTGACCCAGTCTGGCCATTCTTATGTTCTTACCCAGCTTGAGACACCAGGGTCTGATTTTTCAGAGGTGCTGAGCACCCCCAGTTCTGTCAGGAAGTCAGTGGGGTGTGAGATTTGGCTTTCAAAAGGTGTCACCGCTCTCTTGAAATCGTTGGCTGCCAGAGTTAGAGTGTGCTCAGTGGATCCCCATGCTGTGCAGACAGGATTAATAAAGCTCCCAGAAGTGGCCCTTACTGCATCTTGGTGCTTCGATGTCTAGACATACATACACTTCCATATCCTCATTGCAAGCAATATAAAATTTTTAAGGAGCTCCCAGTAGCCAGGGACATGCCCATTGCAGTTGAGATGGGCAGCCAAAGTTGCTCTTGAAATTTCTGGTTCTCAGTGAAGCTTGCCCTGCTGGTTTTGCCAGTGTTTCAGGCACTAGCCTGGGACTTGGATGACCTGGTTCAATTCGCTGCTTTGCCACCATCTTCTTGTTTGATCTTGGACACGTCCCAGGGCCTGCTCGGCAAAGGTACGTAGATGCCTATAGGGGCAGATAGGCCCCTCGTGGGATTCACAAAAGCTCCTGAAGCCGGCGAGGTACCTGGCTGGAGTTTGTAAACCCCACAAGGGGTGTCTCTGCACCTTTAGGTACTAATACCGGTGCAGATCTGCTCTTAGTCTCTGTATCTCAGCTCCCCGCTGTGCCACACCTGGCCCCACCCCAGGCGTGTGAGACAGCAAATCCACTCCAGATTGTGAGGTGCTCAGATACTGTGCTGTTGGAAGACCCACACAAGTGCCTGCGATTAACCCGTACTACCCTTGTAGTTAGGACCAGGCTAGTCCTGGGCCAAATGCTTCACGTTCTGGTTGACCTCTCTTGGCCTAGGTCTTAGAGAGGCTGTTTGTGAGCAGCTGCTGTGACTGGAGGAGGGCAGTGGCAGCAGACTCGTGGTGCCTGCTATTACTCCTCCTCCTCCTCTCAGGACTTGGCTACTGTTGGGGGATGGGGGTCTCCTCTCCTCCTGGCCCTGCTCTCGCCTTCAACTCATGCTTCCCACTGAGGAGGATGTGGCAGGCTTTACCCCATGCTTTTCCTATTGGTGGCCATTTCCAGGAGTCCCAGGCATGGCCTCGTCTCTCTGGCTGTCCCCAGGTCCCAGAACACCCTCCTCACACTGTGTCTCTTTCCTTCCAAGCTGTCTAACACGGCGGAGCTGGAGCGGCGACTCTCTGACCTGGAGCTGGCCCAGATGCTGTCTAGGCAGAAACTGGAGCGAGCCTCTGCCGCTGCTGAGCGCATCGGGGCCTCTGACCCCATCGGCAAGCTTGCCGCCTTCCAGGTGGAAGTGAAGCAGGCCATCAGTGAGCTGAGAGGAGAGCTCCCCTCCGGGACCGAGCTGGCTGCACTGCAGAGCCAGCTGGAGCAGCTGAGAACCACCGAGCTGGAGATGCTGAGGCAAGAGGTGGCCGGGCTCTTGGCGTCGGGTTCCAGGCTGGAGCAGAGCGTGGCCTCGTTGACCAGCTCCCTCAGGAGCCTGGAAGAGAACGCTCAGAGCCTGCAAGCCATGCAGCAGGAAGTGGAGCACGCTAAGGTGGCTGGCGAGAGATTAGAGAACAGCATGGGCTCCCTGTCAGCCCAGACCTTCATCCTGGAGGGAAGCCTCAACCGCACCACACTGCTGGCACATGGCCTGCAGCTGCAGCTGGAGCAGAACAGCAAGGCTCTGGCTGGGCTACAGGAAGTGGTAGCAAATCAGAGAGGGAGCGACGGCTCTGAGCCTCGGCAGCTGGAGAAGCTCCGGTATGATGGCCCCTCGAGGCTGATGTTTGTTACGTATATTGCGGTAGCGCTGAGAGGCCAGGGCCCCATTGTGCTAAGTGCAGTACAAATGGTTCCTGCCGCAGAGCATGGGATTTGACCACGTCTAGCCAAGCGGAGCCCTGCAGAGCCCTCGTTACAGAGAGCAGAGCAGCGTGCCATGTCTGGAGGGTTTAACACCAAAGCAGGTCTGGAAGACGGTGTGGATTGCACTCTCAGCAAATTTGCGGATGATACTAAACTGGGAGGAGTGGTAGATACGCTGGAGGGGAGGGATAGGATACAGAAGGACCTAGACAAATTGGAGGATTGGGCCAAAAGAAATCTGATGAGGTTCAATAAGGATAAGTGCAGGGTCCTGCACTTAGGATGGAAGAATCCAATGCACCGCTACAGACTAGGGACCGAATGGCTAGGCAGCAGTTCTGCGGAAAAGGACCTAGGGGTTACAGTGGACGAGAAGCTGGATATGAGTCAGCAGTGTGCCCTTGTTGCCAAGAAGGCCAATGTCATTTTGGGATGTATAAGTAGGGGCATAGCGAGCAGATCGAGGGATGTGATCGTTCCCCTCTATTTGACATTGGTGAGGCCTCATCTGGAGTACTGTGTCCAGTTTTGGGCCCCACACTTCAAGAAGGATGTGGATAAATTGGAGAGAGTCCAGCGAAGGGCAACAAAAATGATTAGGGGACTGGAACACATGAGTTACGAGGAGAGGCTGAGGGAGCTGGGATTGTTTAGCCTGCAGAAGAGAAGAATGAGGGGGGGATTTGATAGCTGCTTTCAACTACCTGAAAGGGGGTTCCAAAGAGGATGGCTCTAGACTGTTCTCAATGGTAGCAGATGAGAGAATGAGGAGTAATGGTCTCAAGTTGCAGTGGGGGAGGTTTAGATTGGATATTAGGAAAAACTTTTTCACTAGGAGGGTGGTGAAACACTGGAATGCGTTACCTAGGGAGGTGGTAGAATCTCCTTCCTTAGAGGTTTTTAAGGTCAGGCTTGACAAAGCCCTGGCTGGGATGATTTAACTGGGAATTGGTTCTGCTTCGAGCAGGGGGTTGGACTAGATGACCTTCTGGGGTCCCTTCCAACCCTGATATTCTATGATTCAGGGTATAGTTATTGAGGGGATGTGGCTAAAATCGAGGGGATGCAGTTCAGAGCAGGAGCGTTTGCCCTGAATACAAGGGAGGCCTTCCCTATAGTGAGACCTGCCTGGAGAAGCATTTGCTCCATCGCTTGGGACACACGCAAATAAACTGGGCAAAGCCTGTGTGGATACAGGGCAGCGGGCAGCTGTGATAGGAAGCTCTGGTAGCCCATTGCCCGTCTCCAGTGTCTGTGGCCTAGAGTCCTGGTGGCGAGGGGTGTTGCTTTGGGCTGGGCTGCATAGCAGTGTTTCCCTACAGGACTCCTCTCTCTCTCCTCCCTTAGTAGTGGCTCCCTGCTCCCTGCCAGCTAGTGCTGAGGGAAAGTCCACACTGCGAGTGAAGGTCTGATGGCCACATGGGTAGGCATACCCACCCAAGCTTTAATCTAGCTGGCATGGGTAACAGTAGTGTAGATGGGGTGGTGCAGGCTAGCAGCCGTGGGTGAACATGGGTAACGGTAGTGAAGATCCAGTGACATAGGCTTCGGCACAGCCTAGCAACCAGACTACAAGCTACAGGGGCTCTGGGTAAGTCCTCTGTCTGGTAGCCCACTCTGAAGCCTGTGCAGCTGAATGAAGAGCCGGAGTGAAATGTAGCCTTCTTCAGAGGTCATTAAGAAGCAGTCTGCCCTCTCCTCTGGCTTTGTGGCATCCCCTCTCTGCATTCACTGCAGGCTTGTATCTCAGACTGCCGCTCAGCATGCAAGTGCCCAGTGGCACGTGAGAGCCAGTGTTTGCAGCTCCATGGGGACCCGCAGGTCTTGACTCTGCTCTCTGGGCCTTCCAGGGTGCAGATCCAGCAGCTGCAGATGGAGAGATCAGCCATGCAGGAGCGGGTGAACGAGGCGCTGCACAGCATTGCTGACCAGAGGAGAGAGCTGCAGGGCAGGATCTCAGAGCTGGAAACTGCTATTCATGCTCTTCAGGGCCATGTGACTCAGGTGAGGACTCGGGGCCAGCATGCTGTGGTTACTCCCGTGTGGCCTAGGGAGAGGAAGTAAGCAATGCAGTAGCACCTCAGAGGTATGAGCACCGAGGGAAGGGAGGTGGTTCTTTCAAAGGTTTACAACTGAACACTGACTTCATACAGCTTTGAAACTTTACTGTGCAGCAGAAAAACGCTGCTTTTAACCATCTTAACTTCAATGAAACAAGCACAGAAAGTTTCCTTACTTTGTCAAATCTTTTTTTTAACTTTCCATTTAGTAGTTTACGTTTAACACAGTACTGTGCTGTACAGCATTTGCTTCTTTTGGTCTCTGCTGTCTGACTGTGCACTTGTGGTTCCAAATGAGGGGTGTGGCTGACCAGGCGGTTTGTAACTCAGATGCTCTACTGTCCTGTTAGAGCCCGGGGGAGATGCTGGCCGGGCGTCGGAGGAGTTCAGAGATGAGATACAAAGCGGGCTAAGGGGGTGGAGGAATGAGAGTGATTCGCTTTACATGACAAAGGGTGAGGGGAAACAGAGCTACCCATGAGAACAGGCCAGGCCTGCCTATTGATCTCAGAAGGGCTGGAGGATGTGGGGGGACATGCACACAGGTGCTGGCTCTCTCCAGGCCTGGGGGGTGCTCAATCCCCCACTCTGCCCCCTGCTCCCAAGTCCCCATCCCCGCCCCATCTTGCCTCTTCCCGCCCAGTTCCATCCCCTCCACTGAGCATGCCTCATCCCTGCCCCTCCCCCTTTCTCCCAGAGCCTCCTGCACACTGCGAAACAGCTGAATGTGGCAGGCAGTCGGCGCTGGGCAGGAGGGGGAGGAGTTGATCGGAGGGGCTGGCAGGAGGCGCTGGGGAGGAGGAAGGGGGAGCTGCCTGCTGGTGGGTGCAAAGCACCCGCTAATTCTTTTCCGTGGGTGCTCCAGGGCTGGAGCACCCACGGAGTCCGCACGTATGCGGGGGACAGACATGGAATTGCAGATTTTAAAAACAAATGCAACTGACGTGCTGGGATCACTCTGAAATGCTGTCACGTCAAGCAGCGTAGGGCAGTCTGCATCCACAGAGGTGTGTCTTGAAGGTACGTGTTCTGCAAAACGCACAAGTGAGAGCTTCTGCATCACAGCTCCGCATTGGGCTCTGGGCCCTGGAGGGTTATCAGCTTTTAGCGAGCTGGCTGGGCTTATGGAATGTGACGTTATTTTGGTAGCAGAATCCCCCGGATTTACTTCCCAGCAGAATTTCTCAGCTGTTGGGTCGGGGGGAGCGTTACAGCTCAGTACCTGGATGTCCTTTGGGAAGAGGGTTTTGCAGTACGGTTGGTCACGTGAGGTTCTGGGTTGGGCCTAAACCCACCAAAGCAAATACCTGCAGGAAGGAGGAATGCTGGAACTGGGCTTTAGGAGCCCTAAGAGTGCAGATGTGGGCAGTGCTGCTCCCTGCGGTGCAGGAGGATGTGCAGGTCTCCGAACCAAAAGCAGAGGATTTCAGTCTCCAGTGCCTCTTGCCTCCATTGATCAATCTCTCCCCACGTGCTTGCACGCAGACCTTTGCTACAGAGCCCTTCACCTGGCAGTAGCTGGCACCTTCCTGCAACCTGTGGAGAGTCGAACTCTCTGCAAGCGGGGAATCTCCGTGTGTGTGGTTGCCTGTGTGTGTGACAGCCTCTTGCAGGGTGGGGTAGCTCCCAGCCCCACAGGGAGGCCACGGCATGTGGCCATGACTCTCACCACGTGCTGCTTTCTGAGGAAGCCTGTGCCTGGAGCAAAGAGTCTGTCCCATGCCCTGGATTTCCTCTCTTTCTTCAGGTGGAGCTGGGCATGGTCAATCTGAACACACAGCTCTCCACTGCCGTGGAGCAGCAGCTGCAGGGTCTAAAGCTTGGGATGGCCAATCTGGAGAGCAGCCTGGGCACCAGCTTGCAGCAATGTAAGAGCAAAATCCCTTCCTGGACCATGGGGGTGGGGTGGGGGAGACCCACAGACTGAACTACTGGTTGTGGTGTTAGGAGCCACCCCAGCCGTGTGTTCTGCTTGCTCATCAGATGGGCACATGCATGCACCCCCCTGCATGCTTCTTGGGAGCCAGAGATAGAAGCCAATTGGGTCTCTTCTCTTCCAGTGCTTGGTGGCTCAACCTTGTGCAGACTTCAGTGGCTCAAGTGATTGGCGTAGTTTTGCCCTGGGGGGAGGGGAAGCGAGTCCATAGACTATTGAGCGCACTGTTATTGCGGCAGTCGTGTTGTCCGTGAGCTTTGATGCCAGCCCAGCGGGCCCCTCTGGCTGTCCCTGCACAGGCTCCGTTTAACCGCAAGCTCTTCTCCCCACCCCCTGCCCTCAAAACACCCATTTGGAGTGATTTCTGACTAGCGGAGGAGACGCTGAGAGCTGTCGAAGCTCACGCTGGGGTCCCGCTCCCGCCACTGTCTGTCTAACAGGGCGTTTGTGGAGCAGGTCCCCATTTCACGTGTCCATTGTTACCAGATTCGATCATTACTCTGCGGTACGCTCATTTGTTAGGGTTACTCTTCGCGGGGGGGTGTTAGGGTCTGTACTTCTATCCACATACTGCTTGTGTCACTTGTGTTCTCCTACGGAGCTCTGCTTCTCCCTGCTGCCAGTCGTTCCCCCCCACCCCCACCCCCCCAGTGGAGCTGTCCGGCAGGACCTCGGTTCCCCTGGGCTGGGTTCTTTCCAGCCCCAGAATCAGACGAACACACACACATTAACCGAGCGCATCTGAGAGGGCCGGGTTAATCAGCACTCCCAAGCTGACCCCTTATATGTCCCTGGACTCAGCAGGCCGGGTCAAGCAGCACTTCCAAGCTGCCACCTTCATATACCCCAGGTTCAGCACGTCCCTATCCCTATTTCCATGTTACAATTGCTCTGGTCATAACCCGCTGGATGAGCAAACCCCATAGGGTTTTTGGGCGCTGCAGGGAGCGTTGCTGCAGAGCGAATGGGGAAGCCAAAAAATACCCACTTTGGGGAGAGAGAGAAGCAAGCAGCTTAATCATGAAAGTTATTTATTGCCAGGTAATAACCATACAAGGGGAGCCAAACAAACCACTTATAATCAAATTTAAGTTCAATTTAATATTATAAAAGTCAGGTTTAGAAAACTATAACTGATCCCACAAATCGGGCTTAGAAGGCTACACCTAGAGAGAGAGAGAGCTGGGTTCTCACTACTCCGTGAAGCTTGAATGGATTGGGGGTCCAGGTGGTGGTGGCAGCTGAGGGTCTGGAGTGCTGGAGACAGGCAGAGCCCCTGGCATGGTCAGTCAGGAGAAGGTGAAGTCCCAATGGAGCTGATGCAGAGTTTGGATCCAGGCATCAGAACACTTACTTAGAATAGGTAGGGTTTTTTGTAGGGGAACAACAATGGTTCAAGGGAGAACGCTAGATTTGTTTATGGGTAAACCGATGGCTCAAGGGAATATGCCAGTGTTGTTTAGTTCAAGCTAGACAATGGGAGCTGATCATTCCTGGCAATGGGCAGTGTTCCTTGGAGGGAGCTCACAATGCAATTAGGCAGCTTCAGTATTTTGGATACTAGTAAAGGATTTGCAAAAAGAAAAGGAGTACTTGTAGCACCTTAGAGACTAACCAATTTATAAATTGGTTAGTCTCTAAGGTGCCACAAGTACTCCTTTTCTTTTTGCGATTACAGACTAACACGGCTGTTACTCTGAAACCAGTAAAGGATTTATTACTAGAATTGGTCTGATGACTACTGAGCTGGGTGTGTGCAGGCATGGGTTCATTAGCATCTGGCTCAGAGATCCTGCAGAATGCAGTGCTTCCCTGCTTTTCTGGTCCCAGAGTTCAGTGCGGTTCTTGCCTTGGAATCTCTGTTCTCCATTCTGTATGCGAAAGGAGATGCCGCCCTGTCCCATCTTTGATGCAAATGAGGCTAGGGGAGTTTCCTTAATCCTGTCACCCGTGTCCCAGAGGTTTAGGTATGTCTCCCACCGCCTTTTAATTGCTTTTTGTAAGTCTGTCTGTCTTCTGAATGGCTTCAGTTCAAGCAGACGCGGCGGGGGGGGGGAAGAGGTCTTTAGTGAGTCAGACAGGCTGGGTACTGCATCCTGATCCCCCAGGAACACAGAGCTGATCGGTAACACCATCAGTGTCTTTGAGTGTGAGGAAGGACTGTGGGCTGGCTGCTGCTGTTGCTTCAGCCCTCGGCAGGGTGCCAGGCACAACTCAACGAGGTGGCTGCGGGTGACAGTAGGAAGCATAGTAGACCTCACCCAACGTGGGGTGAAAGGCCTCTGTATGGGACTGGCATGAAGGGTAACAAAGTAACTGGAAACCTAGTGTGTCTCTGCACAGAGGCTTTGGAGACCAGAGAGCAGCCTGGCCTGGTGTAAGTCCATGGTCGGTGGAGTCACACCTGGGATGCATCCATCCCTAGGACTGTTTCCTTTGGGAAGGAGAATTGATGACAGAGGTACATAAATAATAATTGAGCTAGAAGGTCCATCGGCCTCCTGGTTACCCAGTAGCATAATAAAAGAACAAGGGGACTCCCCAGTGAATTACAGAAGCAGCGCACATTAAAATAGCTAACAGGAAATTTTCATGGAGTGTGTAACTGACCCTTGGAACCCACTGCTGCAGGACAGCACGGGCTGAATGCACTTCCCCCAAAGGATTAGACGCTGGCACCGATAGAGCTGCAGTTAGACAACTGGGATAAACATGTTTCAGGCTATGAGCCAATGAGCAGCTGTGGTGAGCAACACATGGCCAAGCCTGCAGGGACAATGTGCTTGGGTGTGGCAGGATGGGCAAGAGTCTCTGAACCATCTGACACAGGTGACATTCCATATTCTTAATCCAGATTTGCAGCTAAATTTTTGTATCCAGTAATATCCACAGGGGGGCGCTGTGGGACTGCAAGTGCCCGAAGCTCTGTGCATGGGAAGACAGCACGGGGGTTTCTTTACAAAATCAAATCTGATCTCAGTCCCTGGAAATCCCGATGAGGGGAGGAAGAGTGAGTCCTTAGGGGGCTTCTCCAGATCCCTGGTGGGGGTAAGGGGTTTTCAGTGGAGGGGAAGTGCCCCACTCTGTACCACAGAGCCTCTGGGAACTGCCATGCAGGTGTTTTTTCCTCTTCGCTCCCAAAGGGAGGCACGTCAGGGTGAGCAGAACCAGGTCTCTGCCCTCCTGAGGCAGGCTCTCCCCCGAGCCCAGGGCTTCCTCGCCCTACAGGGTCCTTTCACCTGAGGAGAGCAGGACATGGCTCCCTGCAGAGCTGCCATCTGCCTGCCTTCCTGCCCCCCTCAGGGCTGAATGTTCCTCTCCCAGGCACCCAGCCAGGGACTGAGAGGAGACCCTGACCGCAGGCTCACTGGGACTCCCCGTCACACTAGAGCAGTGGGGAGTGGCTGTGATGCCTATGGTTATGGCTCTGGGTTTGGCTCCATTCAGATCCAGCCAAAGCTTGCGACTCCAGACCCCCCGGTTAGAGCTGATTTGAATTGCTTTGGGTTCCTTACACCTCTCCCTGGTTTGGTTCTTTGGGAATCCATCCCCTGTCCTATCCCCTCTCCCCTCCGGGTGTAGTTCCCTGGTGCTGTGGTTCCCATTCCCCGTGGAACACTAGTCGGTGAGAACGTGTCATGTGTCACTGTGTGTTAATTAGGAGCCCCTCTACTTGTCACAGCACTGATGGTTTTCCTGGAGGAGTGGGTGTTCATCTCTAGTGATGGCATGTTCCTTTCCCTGTGGTGTGCCAAGCATTCCCTTGATCTTGTGTTTTGATACCAGATCTCTGCTCAGGGCTGTCCCCTTCCAGCCCCTTGGGGTGCTTCTCCAGGCTAAATAACTCCTGTCTCTGCAGTCTCATGGTAGATCTCTGCCAGCTGGCTCTTCACCCTCCAGGCTCGCTGAGACTCTCTGGAGGGCACCGAAATTGAGTATGATCTGTGCAGTGACCATTTCCTGTCCCTGTAAATACGGGGCATCCCCCCGAGGGTGGAGCGCACTGTGCTTAGCAATGCTTATGCCCCGTACCAGAGAGCATGATACAGTCCTGCTGCCCTAAAGTTTCTCTCCCCGCTGCAGGGGAATGCCATTGACTAATGTGGATTCCTTTCATGGAGGCCTGGTGGGAATTTAAAGCTACGGGACTGTGTATCTCTGATACACCTTCCTCCAGGACATCGTTCAGCTGTGATGGTGTAAATAGCTTGGTCCCTGAGCTTCCTAACTCTGGCTCTGCAGTTATGGGTTGCCTCTCATAGTGATGGAGGATATACAGAAATGGAGCCTGCAATGGGACAGTGGGAAGACTGGCTTGATGCCCTCAACAGAAGGGGAAGGAAACTAATCTCTTGCTTCCCTTCTCTCCCCTGCCCTCACCAGGTCTCTCAGGAGAAGTACAGACCCGCTGTGAGACTGAGGGCAGCTGTGTGTGGCCGCGAGTCCGCGAGGTCAGCTTCCCGCACCGTGTCCCGACCCAGCCCGTGATTATGCTGGGGCTGGTGGGGCTGAGCGCTCATGGCTCCGTGGGCATCTCGGTGAGAGCTGTGGACGTCACAGACTCTGGCTTCAAAATACACATTGCCAACATGGGCAACCAGAGCCTGTCCAGCGCGAGGGTGTCTTGGATGCTGTGTGCATAGACGGAAACTGTTATGCAGCCCTTGGAGCAAGCAGCTGGGGCATTGGGAGCAGGGGTTACTGAGCTGGTGGCATCTGCTTTACTTGGACACAACCGTGGTTTGCTTTGGTTTTCTTTACAGTAATTACACCTTACAGGGATGATAGGTGTAGATGGGATTCCAATTAATAGCCCCTCTCTTGGGAGCTGTGTACCCCCATGGAATGGCAGGCTGAACAGCCCCAGGCCTTGCTGAAGGCTCCTGGAAAGTGCAACTGACAAGATCTGTCTTAAACTTTCAAACATAAGCACCTAAACTGAGCCACCAACTGCGTGCACATGGGCAACTCTGTGTGTGTGTGTGCGTATGTAGCCACTCTGCAGCCACAGATGTGCGGCTTGCTCTCACAAAAAGGTGCACCACAAGGCTGATTGGGAGGGAAGTTTAGCACCTGAGTCTGTAAAGTTGGCCTGTAAACATCTTTATTTAGGGATTTTTTTGGTTTTATTATTTTCAGTAGCAACTGTTGGAATGTTCTCCTGCTGCCCACGTAGGATTCTACCCAGTGCTTTGCATGCCAGAAGTGTTAAAACTTATGCAGGGATGATGCTAATTGCTGGATGCAGCCAAACTACTGAAGATGTGGGACTACCTCTTTATGTGTGCGTGTTTCCAGTTGAAATTTCCTGGCTGAGCCAGTTGCTTCTGGCACAGTGTGAGCTTGCCTGTATGGCAGAGGGTATTGCAAGTCAGGGCTGCTCATTCCTCACAGAGCTATGGCTTCTTCTACTCTGAGCCTTACCCTGGAACAGATGGACAGTCATGCTAAGCTTTCTTGTAGCATTGCAAGGTGGACTAAGCCTTCTCTGGACCTCTGATCTCCCCCAAGTGAAACACCAGTGCGTTCAGACTGCTTCAGGTGTGCTTGCTTTTCTGTCTAATTCTGCGGAAGGGAAGCAGCTTTATTTTAATGTATACAACTCTCTCAGGCGGCTTTGCAGGCTACTAATGGCTTGTCCAGCCTGCTGACCTAAGCACAATACACCTGCTTCTCTCTTCTCCTTCCTTCCCCTGCCCATCCCTGGAAGACGCACTGGAGCTCTCAACACAGCAGGCTCCAGGGTGGGAGAGGGGTCTACAAAGCAGGTTATGGGTCCACCATGAGACACCTTGCAAAGATGGGAGGTGTGTGCAATTCCACCCCCATAGTCCCAGTTTGGAGGTCTTGTGTCCTGTGGTGGTGGGTACAGAAGGACTCTCGGCTGGTGCTACATATGTACCCCATGGAGATTTGTAGGTCTCAAATTGGCAGGGTTGGGGTTGAGCATAATGCCTTCTGTGGCTGAAGGTCAGAACACAGAGGCTTCTTCTTGTCAGAAAGAAAATGGGGGAGTGTTTCCCCAGATTGTCTCCTCTGTGACTCTAGAGTGGAGCTATCCGAGCACCCAATCGAAGTCACTCCAAACCCCCACTCCCACATCAGCTGGCAATCTGCCTAAATTGTCCTCTTCTCCTCCACACGTTCACTCTGCGCTGACTGAAAGGAGGAAGGACAGCCTTGTTAAAGCACAGAACTAGAATGTTGGAAATCCATGTTCAGTTCCTTGCTCTGCCACACGTTGGCAGGTGGCTTTCCCTCTGCGCCTGGACTGTGTAAAGTACCAAGCGATGCCCGCTGTCTGCAGAAAACCGTAGAGATTTTTTCCCCCCCCCTAAAAAAGCAAGTTCTACAAACTGAAACACTGTGATTTGGAAATGGTGCTGCCCTGCCTCATGGGAGCTGTGGTTCAGATGTCTGTTCCCATTCTCCTCTATAGACTGCGTGGACTGTGTTTCCCAGAATGCTCTCTGGTAAATTACAGTTTTGTGTGGGGAGCAGAGCCTATAAAAGAGAGGGAATATGAAGCTGCATTTACCAGTCAAAATATTTTGGGGTTTGGGTGTATTTTTGGTGGGGAAAAATGAAAACTGTGTGTGTGTGTGTACACACACCTATGTTTCCAACAACCATCTCTAGCGCCAGTTATTGTTTCTAAGCTCACTGGGTGCTATCCGCTCGGACACATGGCAGATGCCTTCCCAAAATGCCTGAGGGGGCCCTCGGGGATCCAGAACGTTCCAGCGTTGTCTCATCACCTGAACTGGGCTGACAAGACTGCTGCTGCCCTGGCTCGCCAGGACGCTGGGTGCAGAAAAGCAGGTGGTGGGAGTCGTATGATGTGCGGGGATGGCAAAATGGATCTTCAGCCTGTCGGAGGGCAGAGAAAGGTGCCAAAGCAGCCTGTTCCGCTCTGAGCGAGTGGGGGACATCCAGAACTCGGAGGACAGGCTACAGGACACAACTGAGACTCTGGGGTCTGGGAGCCTGAGCCCCATGAAACTAAGTGTGTCTCTTGAGAGGTGCCTGCTGCTTCTTCACACCCCTGCTGATCATGCGTGTATTCAGCCCCCCTCAGCAGAAGGTGTGTTGACCGTGCCTGAGGACCCCAAGGGGAGAGGTGGGATTCTGTGCAAACTATCTAATGCCTCCAGAGTCAGACAGGAAACGATGGGTTTTTCCCCCAGTTGCTACCATGTACCTAAAGCAGCTCCAGCCTTTCCCCTGTCCAGGGGGAAGCTACCGCTCTCTGGCTGTCCACAGCCGAAGGAGGTGCTGTTGTTCGTTCATGCCTGAGCGGTAGGAATTGTGTCTGTGACTCAGCCCCATGGAGGCCTCGAGGTTTCTGGGCCGTGTGCTTCAGCCTCTGGCAAGGAGCTGGCTGCCAGTTCGGGAGGCCGCAAGTGCTGAATTGCCAAAGCTGTTTTAGAAACCAAGCAAAGGGCACAAACCAAAACCTGCCCTGGGTGGATCTCCGTTGGCAGGGCAATATTTGGCCTCGTCCCTAGCGTGCCTTGCTCTAAACTGGTTTTCTGCTCAGGTGTGGGCTCGCATGGCTTCATGCGAAATGGAAGTGCTTTCCCTGAAATGGCAGAGTGCAAAGTAAGACATCTTCCAATTTCAAGGCCCCATTGGCTGCCCTGTGGGATGGAGGGGAAAAAACCATGGTGGGTCAGAACAGGGAGTGCTGTATGCAAACCATCGATCCTTCCCTGAGCCCCTCTCCTGCTTTTGGGAGCCTCTGGGACCACGGCCACCCTTCTTGGCATACTGCCCATCCTGCCATAGGGTTCCCCTGCCTGAGGGTGAAGTACTTGAGTCTGTAACAAAACAGCTCTCCCATTCAGCAGACATGGAGTTTCCTGTTTCTGGGGAACGTGGAATCTGGCCTAACGTTAATTCTGACTAGCTGGACATTGTCCACGTATGTAGCCAGGCTCTGATCAGACCCCTTGCTCCTCTCGTGCTGTCAAGGCCAGTAAAGCCCTTTGCTGAAGCTTTTCTGCAGGTACCGAATAAAAAGTAGGAAAGCCAAGAGTGGGGTAAGTCTGGTGTAGCTTTAAAACCCTGCTCTCCTAGGCCCCCAAGAAACTAAACGGTTGGTGGTTCTTGTGCCAGGCTGGGTGTGGAGACACTCTCTGGTGTTTGGATTGTGACCCATTTCCATTTAGCCTGGGTCAGTAAAAACTAATATAGGGGTTCTGCTTGCACCCATACAAGCCAGCTTTAAACTGATGCCAGTGCCTACGCCCCCACAGTCTTCCACCAGTTTAACCCTAATTAATCAGTGAATTCAAGTCCTGTGCCATGGGAGCTGCTGCTGCGTGTACATCAGATTCCTCTCTTTTTCTGAGCCAGTTTTTAGCTTGTGCTTGCCATTGGCTTTCTCTCCACTTATGTGGCTGCAAACGGGGCCTGAGACAGGTTTAGGGCTGAAGGCAGCCAGCCAAACATCTTACAGTTGCCCAGCCAAGTGAAGGGCTAGGCTGCTTAGTGTGGGCCTGATTCTGATCTCGTTCTGCTTGTATGCCAGGAACTCTGTTGTCCTTAGTGAGGGTGCTCCTGATTTAAAGGGGTGTGAGAGGAGAATTGACACATGCCTAGGTTCTCATCATGGCAGGACTGCTGGAAGGGCCTAGTACCTATATGTTTCTGTATTGAGTCAGGCCTTATACAGGAGCAGGCTGAACGTGGCTGTCTTACTGAGTGCGGAAATGGGTTGCTGTCCTACTGCTGTGTACCCATGGCGCAAAGCTGAGCTCAGCGTTGATAACCCCACCAATTGTTGGGCCAGCAAACTGCTTCTCTTCTCAAATAACTGCCTGCATGCTGCGTCGCCCTTCCAGCCCTGCGCGGATTCAAAATTTGTATCCGCCTCCAACCTGCAAAAAATGATCCGTGGATACCTGCATCTGCGGCTATAAAGCGGATATTTTCAGGGCTTTAGATACCACATTTGGATCCTCATCCATCCGCGATGGGCAAAAAGGGTCCTTGGATATCTGCGGATGTAAAGTGGATAGCCACCGATTTGCAGGGCTCTAGTCACCTTCAACTTGCATTGCTCCATCTGCCCCAAAAGGCTGCCAGTCCCGATCCCTGCCGGGTAACAGTGCTAACCTGCTTCTTCACTCCCACTGCAAACTCGATCCCTTCCTACCATGTGTAACTCAGGTAGCAGGTGAACTTTTAGCTTTTCAGAATAAGCCCTGCTGGATTCAGAAATGCAAGAACAACACCACTTCTTCCAAGGAGGAGACACCTCCACAAATCAACCTTCCAGCTGTTCCTCTCATCTGGAAAGGATTTGCACATGGTCCTTGGCTGGCTCAGTGATGTTTGCTAGGTGGATAGAGCTGTGCAAGCAATTCCCGTGCCACAAATGTTAAGTACTGTAGCATTTCTGTAATCTGTGCCCACATGTGAACAGGCCGTGTGCCTGCTTTTCAGTGGATCTGGGGGTGAGATCTGTTGTCAGGCCATCATCCCCTTTAAAATAAGGGGTGACTAGGCACTGTGCTATAGAGAAGGGAAGCTAGATGACAGCTGTCAAGTGGAACTAACAAAGGGCATCTCGTGCTGGGTTTTTATTGATTTGCATCCATGCGACATTGAAGCACACCCTAATCTGCGATGGCTCACCTAGCTCTTGGGCCAAGTGACTGATGATTTGTTTGTGCAATGGTGGTGGACTCTAGGGACTAGTTTTCTTCTCACTGCGAGGAATGAGGGAAGGGACTGTAGATCATGCGGGGGAGCCTCAGCTGGGGTTACGACCCCTCCTTCAGCTGGGCATAGCTGGCGAAGCTGGTGTTGCTCACAGTCTCCTGAGCCCTCTTCTAGACAACAGGGTGATGGGTGCATTATCAACATCTGATAACAGGAGCAAAAGCCCTTGTTACTTATCCCAGGGTTGCCTGCATGAGGAATTAACAGTCAGGTAGCCGCTTCCTGGACATGAGCTATGCCAGTTCTGGCAGCCCCAGACTTTGGTCACTTCCAGGGGGAAGAGCGGATGGTGCTGAGCTGATAAGCAGCCAGCTAAAGCCTGACCTGCCGCTCAAGCAGGAAAGTGGGAGAAGTAGCAGTACAGATTAGCGTCCCTGTGTCCCTCCACCCCCATAGCTGGTTAGAGTGCTGACAGGCCCTAGCTTTCTGCTGGTGGAAGCTGGAAGTGTGATGTGTCTCCCTGAGCCTGCTGGGCTGGGAGTTAGATGCTATTAGTTTTCAAAGCGGCAACCCAGCACCTGCTGCCCAAGCTGTCCCCTGAGGAAACCCAAACTCCCCCCACTCCAGTCCCTGCTAGCCGTATGCACGTCCCATACACCGAGGATTAGTGTTGCCTCTTGGTAGATCTGGGGTAATGTCTTTCTCTGCTGGACATGGCAGGGGAAGGTTGTGTTGTAAATGAATAAATCTCAACGAGCACCTTGCCCAGTGTACAGGCGGCTCCGAGCATGGGTCTCAATGTCTTGGAGAGAACAGCAGCTCTGCTGGAAGACCCCAGACATAGTCCCATTCAAAGCAAAGCCTTGCCATGTCCCAGGAGTCCTTAATGGAAGGTGTGAATTCTAGGAACAGAGCCAAGAGCCTGATTGGCTTATAGCGTGTAACTGCCTCTGCCTGTTTAATAAGGAATGTGAATTTCAAGAACATAGAGATGAAGGGCCTGGTGGCATCCAAAACCATGCGGCTGGAATTGCCAGGGACACCAGCAGTCCAGAGCTAGGCACTTAAGAGTTCCCTTCTTTGCAGTGAAGGACCCCAATCCTGCCTATCCCTCGCCTCCCATACATTGTCGTCTTCAAAAATTTCCACTCCTTCCAACCTACTGCCCATGGAGATCAGCACCCCACGGTGCCAGGGGCTGTACATACAGCTGGGGAGAGCCTCTCCCTGCTCTGAAGATCTAACCCAAAGAGTGGGATGGGAGGCAGGCACAGAGAGGCAGTGATTTTCCCCCAGGTCACCCAGGAGCAGAGCTGGAACTAAAAGCCACATCTTGTGAGGCCCAGTCCATTGCTGGGAGCCAATCTGGAGGGTGTTTCTGACTGGAGGGGGCTGTAGGCCTTCAGAGTGAGAGATGCTTGTATCTTTTCCCCTGGGCTCTGAGCATCTACAGCTTTCCAGCCTTCCTCTGCCAAGTCCTCTCTCTGCACCCACTGTGAGCTGCTCCTTAGAGATGAACTGGAGGAATAGCCAGGTCACCTCCCCCACTGGACTGCTGGGTTCTCTGGGGCATCATGGAGTCCTGGCTCACCCCTACTCCTAGGGTCTGTGCACCAGCCTAGGACACCCTCCATCCATCCTTTCAGTTAACAGAAGGAAGCGGTGAGACCACACTGGTGCCCCACATGGGAGCGCAGGCTGCTCTGTGGACAGATCCACGTATCTCCTCTTACCCTCTCCTCTGCCTCCCTGCTGAATCACAGCCTCTGTGGGAGATGGGCAGAGGGCCCAGAACCATGTCGCCAAAATGCCCTGAGTTCGAGAGTTCCGGGTAAGTGGGAGCGAGATGCAGACTAGGCCTGTGTTGAACCAAAGTCAAAGCCAAACCCACCAGTTTTGGCAAACATTGGTAGTTTGGGTTTTGCAGTCTCCCCTCCAACCCCTTATGCTCTTCCTGGCTCTGTCCCTCACTCCACAGAGATGCCTTCGTTCCATCCCTTGTGCTACAGATGCTCCCTCTGTTGCCCTCTCCAGGCATTTACCTGCCAAAATTCCTGCGCTCCCTGGCATGACTGATCCCTTCATCTTCCTGCTCTGGGAGCTGGCAGGATTCGCCCTTCTAAGGGGCTCCCTAGGGGCACCTGGCTACTAGGCTCACTGCAAAACCCCTTGCTAGGCTGATCTGGCCACCCATCCGAGAACCTGCTGCCACTTCATTCCGGCCTGCCTGGGCGTGGTGATCAGCGGCCTTTGTTCCTGCCGTCGGCATGGCCATGGGGCCAAAGGTAGCAGTGAAGCCTAATTTACAGGCAGCTCAGAACGCAGGTGGGGCAGAACAAAACGTGTTGGCACAGATGGGGCGATGTTCAGAGAGCTGCTTTCACACGGCTTATCGAGCGATGCCTGGAAGCTGCAGCAACTCACTAGCTTAATAACATCAGCACGGGACGAAGCTGCCTTTAATGTAGGGACACACGTTTGTGGGCAGGGAGCTTTTCTATTAATTCTGCAGCAAACCAAGCAAATCACGGAGCTGGGCACCTGGGCTCAGAAATGGGGAGGGGCGTGGATGAGGCAGTGCTTGGGTTCCTGTGCCAGGGCACCTGAGAGAGAAGGGTGGGGCGTTGCCCCTCCAGGAATGCTGGCAGAGAATGTGACACACAAGGCAGACCCCAGGGAATCTCCACTGTGATGAAGAAACAGGACAGCCTGAGGTTGATTCCGCAGCACCTTCCAGGCACCACAAAAACCCATTCTGACGAATGTCCAGTGTATTCCTAGACCTATTGCGTGGCAATCTTCAGGCAAGATGGAAACAACGCGGCGCTGATAGTACCGATTGCAAAACTCCATGCACAAGGCGAGCTCAGCATGCCAGCCGGAACTGATCAAACCACCACGTGCAGACACAACGCAGGCTCAGCTCTGCTGAATGTGGGGAGCAACTCAAAAAGCAATGGCACTCACTGACTCTAGCTACCAAGGGAGCTCAGCTCTGGCTACTGTGCCAGGTGCCCCTCTGCTGATTGCATAACCTCTCGGGTGTGAGCAAAGCAGGAACAGCGATGGCCTCTCTTGGAAAAGTCCTTCCCGTCCCCTGTACTCAGCGGGAAGAGATCAGGGAGGGGGTTGCCTCCTGCTGTCCTAGGGGGAGACTGAGTTGGCCAGGTCTGTGTTGAGACCCCCAAGAAGTTGCTTGCATTTCCTGTGCAATGGAGGCAGGATGGTGCCCCAGATGGCTGTTCCAGTAGAGTGGTTGCAGATGGTCAGACTCTTCTGAATGCAGGGGAGGGTTGGTAGGAGCCTGGGGCACTTTGGACCAGCAGGAGTGGCTCACCACCTGTCAAGCCATATCCCACCATGTGAGCTGCTCAGGGACTGGGGCGGTGGGGTGGGGTTGGTTATCGTAGCTGCCATGCTGGTGGCTAGCCATGGGAGTCCTTCAGAAGGGTCAGACAGCGGAGTGCGTTCCCTTTAGCCAGAGCTTCTGTGGCCTTGAAATTTCACCTGTTACTTCCCAGTGTTCAGAAAATAGCCCAGTAACATGGCTTTGGCCACCTTGAAGTATACCCCCTGCCTCTCATGAAGTGCTGTGTAGGGTAAGCCAGTGCTCTATCCCACAGCAGAGCTGGGTTTAATTCCCACGGGTGGACTCCCACCACCCCTTCTCTCTGGCCTTACAACTCTGGCTAATGCACTGCAGGGAACTCTGGGAAAGGGAAGCTAATAGACCTTTTTCTTTGCTCATTTCTGTGATTCAGCTGCAAGTCCCAGGATATAAGGTAAGGAGTGTACATGGGACTAACCCTCCCATCCTACCCAGGCCTTCAGCAGTGAAGGGAACTGGTTGAAGAAAATTCAACAGTTTTGTGTTCCCTTAACTTGTTCCTAACGCTGAACCCCAGTTGAGTTCTTCTGTCATCAGCAGAACCAGTCATTCCCAACACTCACTGAACACTTAAGGTCAGGTTTAGATGAGTCTTTTCACATACCCAAGGCTACAATTCATCTCTCTTATTTTGGAGGATTTTGCTGTGTATGATGGGCTGACACTCTCGTAAAGGGTTCTGGGTAAGGAAGCGCTCTATAAAACTCCCTGGCTTTCAACTGGTTATCAGAGTTGCTGAAGAAAGGATCATTGAGGAAAGTTTTCAGAGTAGCAGACGTGTTAGTCTGTATCTGCAAAAAGAAAAGGAGTACTTGTGGCACCTTAGAGATGAACAAATTTATTTGAGCATAAGCTTTCGTGAGCTACAACTCACTTGAAACACGAGCTCCACGATCTTGGTTTAGAGATGGGAACGATCACATGGGTTCTCTGGTGTGTTCTCTGGGTCAGGGATTCCCAGATGTGTCCATAGCCTAACCTACAACTTAGTGAATGGTTTGGACCCTTCCTCTCCCTTACCAATCAGTCTCCCTCCTGATCGCGTGGACCCTCTCCCTTCCCACCTACAGTCCCATAGGGTCCCTCAAGCCAGGGCAGCAGTTGCTGACCTGGATAAGTGAAGCTTGGAGAGGATTTAATGTATCTGAAGGGTCTTTGATGCAATGAAAGCAGCTGGAGGTGAGGCGGAGACAGCACTGTGGGACTAGCCAGCTCTCCGCAGATCACCAGCAAGGGTTCCATGGACTGGTTAGGGAACGACTGCCCTAGGGGCCAGTGCAAGAAGGTTTCCTACCGCACGTTCTCCTACACATTCTCCTACCAGCACATCGTGTGCGAGTCTGTTCCTTGCTCTGTAGATCTTGCTGCTTCAACAGCAAACGTTTCCTGTGCTCAGTGTCATTCCAGCTAGACAGACCTTGCTCCATCCACCTTCTCTGGACCATCTGAAACCATTCCTCTCCCTCGTTGGCAAGGGCTGGCCCTAAAAGTCTGGGTGCTCCAAGAGACACTGTTATCGTGTCATAGAATATCAGGGCTGGAAGGGATCTCAGGAGGTCATCTAGTCCAACCCCCTGCTCAAAGCAGGACCAGTCCCCAACTTTTGCCCCAGATCCCTAAATGGCCCCTTCAAGGATTGAACTCACAACCCTGGGTTTAGCAGGCCAAGGCTCAAACCACTGAACTATCCCTCCCACTGTTGGGTCAGGGGGAGAGGGGTTCTCACAGGAAGAGAAAACTAGGGTCTGATTGCACTTCATGGGAGAGCTGCCAATACAAATCTCACCTGCCCTTGTGCATTGGAAAGCCAAGACATTGCACTGACCTGTCCGTGTGGGGGAGCTGGGGCTCTGTCCCTGGGCCTTGTACACACCGTTATAGAAGCACGGCCAGTGTGTGACGTGAGTAGAGACTCAGCTGGTGGTAGCTGGAGCACATTCTACTTCGGCAGTTGCCCCTCTCTGTCCCTTCCTGCCCCCATCGTGTCTCAGTCACGAGGCGCTGGGGTGGGAGAGTGGCACAGGAACCAGAGCAGGATGAAGGGAGCGGAGCAGGGCCGAGAATCTGCCCCCGTGTGTTTTAAGAGCTCCGGGAACTTTGCTTGCAGGGAGATTTTATTTTTCTCTGTACTGCGTGTTTCACAGTCACTCTGCATGCAGATGATCCGGCTCATGGAAAACCAAAGCCTCTTGAGGCTGAGACCTTCTATTTCTCCACCAAACGCTGTGGCATGAGCAGTGGCAGGGCGTGCTCCCCCACACTGCTCTAACTCCGAAGGCAGCTCTCAAGCTGGAAGAGAAGTGGAGCCCTTAAGTCCGTTTATATTTTGGCCTCTGCTGAGACTGTTCACGAGATGGCCGATTAGTGCCGACAGCAGTGGGATGTGGGTGCTTGTCCACAAGGAACTAGATTAAAACCCACCAAAATCACTTGCCATCAGAAAATGACTTCTGATTAGCTGTGAGCTGGGCTGATTTAGACCCAGTGACCTGGAGGGGAAAGGCTTTAGAGCACATCCTCAAGCTCTCAGCCTCACGCTGTCCTATAAATGGAGAAGGAGACAACTGAAGCAGGTCCATACAGGTTTCACAGGCTCATTTTGTAATAGATAATCCCCAAACCTAGTAATGAATGCATTGTCTAAAGCCTGCTAACAATACACTGTTTCTGCTGCAAAGATCCTGCCCTCTAGAAATCCAGACTGATGTTGGATACTGGCTAGCCCCTACTTACTTATGGTATGACTCTTAAAAGTATTTAGGTGCCTAACTCCTGTTAATTTCAATGGAGAGTGAGATGCCAAAATACCTTTTAACAATCTTGCAGTAAGTGCCTACCAGCAAAGTCAGTGGGAATTTTGCCATTGATAGTGGAGTGAGGACTGGCCAGGTACTCCCAGGTACTACCAGGGCCAGGTACTCACCAAGGGCCTGATCGATGGGACTCTTTGCATTGACTTCAAGGGACTTTGGGTCCAGCCCATAATTAAGCTGGTGAATACGTCGTTAGTGGCGGCATTGTAAGATCCAGTCATGAGCTTACCCAGCATGGTGAAGAGAACGTACGGTCTTCATAGAGGTCCAAAACCACCTGCTGCTTCTACTCAGGCTAGTGGAAAATTCCCGTTGGCCGTCAGCAGGCGTAGTATGCATGGCTCTTATGGGACCTCCAGCTGCTAAGTGGTGACGTAAATACCCAGCCAGATCTGATTCCATCCAATAGAGGGCAGTGGGCCGCACAGTAGCCAGCATATTGCACTGCTCTGGGGTGTTTCTTCTGGGCGTGTAGGTGTGTCTGTGGTAGGTTCCGGGGTAATGCCGGGATAGAGCTCCAGTGGTGCAGGTTACAAGTAATGGATCTAAGTCCTGTTGTGATCACTGGGCCTAACAACTTACCCTCAATTGCGTTGTGCTTTTTTTTTTTTTTTTTTCATGGTTTTTCATTTAAGTTCATAAAATGTCACAAAACCTATACTGTTGCTCGGGAAGGGGTACAAAAAGGAGACACACAAAACCCTAACTTAGTCTAAACAAAAGGGGGGCTTGCTCATATGGCTCAAGGACTGTGTTGAAATCATGCATGGTAAAACCAGAAAATGTGCAACTGAAAATTCATGAACCAAAATTCCTGTCTCGGATATTAGGCCTAATTAGTGGATAAAATAATGAGGGGATGGGCTATTCCACCCAGTGTTCCCTGTAAGGACCCCAAAAGGAAGAGGCTTGAGGAGGAGAATATGGAAGAACAGAAGGAGGCTACTGGAGCAAGCTTCACCTTCATGGCTGCCACCCCCCACTGTCTCCTGAGACTCTAGACCTCCTTTGTCCTAATCCTGACCAGACCGGGCCAGAGAGACGGACCTAGATGGCATCGCCACTCCTTCCAGCTCCAGCTGAATTCCAGCCACCACCTAAGATAAAACGGGATCTGACTCTAGCAGCAGCAGCTCCATCCCATCTCAACCAACCTCTTTCTTTCTCCAAAATGGACAGTTATTGCCATCTAAGAGACTGTCACCCCAGGGATTTTCCCTCTTAAAAACTCTCAAGCTGTTCAGATGAGAGCCTTACTTAATACTTTACATTTCAAATGCTCTAACTGTTTCTTTCTTTTCTGTATCTTTAATAAAAGGTAAGAGGATTTTTGATGGTCTGTTTGCTATGGTACTAAGCAGAATGTGGTCTCTGTATACAAAACCCTGCACTTTGTTTAACACTGTTTAATGTTAACACCTTTGGTCCATCTAAATACAACAGTCCCCAGGCACCAAGTGAAAATTGCCACAGGGAGAGTTCTAAGAGGAGTGACTCCCCTTTGTGGAAGAGGTGAGTCGTTGTGAGGCCCTTTCCACTCCCGAGACTACATGGTTCCAGGTTGCACCCAGGTGTGGGGTGACTAGGCGTGTACCTGTACGAGCTGTCCCCAGTATCCAACTGACCCACGTGATCTGGAGCCCTGGCATGCATCAGGTGTCATCACGTAAGCACCTACACTCTTGTGAGTCAAGCTGTGCACCACCCCTTATTAGGTTAGTGCTCCATAACTCACACCCTCGTTGCATCACTTTGCCAAGTTGTGTCATACGGGGGTGTCAAGGTTCCTTCCCCACTCTGAACTCTAGGGTACAGATGTGGGGACCTGCATGAAAATCTCCTAAGCTTACCTTTACCAGCTTAGGTTAAAACTTCCCCAAGGTACAGACTATTTTACCCTTTGCCCTTGGACTTTCGCTGCCACCACCAAACGTTTAATCGGTTATTGGGAAAGAGTTGTTTGGAAACGTCTTTCCCCCCAAAATCCTCACCAAAACCTTGCACCCCCCTTCCTGGGGAAGGTTTGATAAAAATCCTCACCAATTTGCATAGGTGACCATAGTCCCAAACCCTTGGATCTTAAGAACAATGAAAAAGCATTCCGTTTCTTAAAAGAAGAATTTTAATTAAAGAAAAAGTAAAAAGAATCACCTCTGTAAAATCAGGGTGGTGAATACCTTACAGGGTAATCAGATTCAAAACATAGAGAATCCCTCTAGGCAAAACCTTAAGTTACAAAAAGACACAAAAACAGGAATCTACATTCCATTCAGCACAGCTTATTTTATCAGCCATTTAAAGAAAACATAATCTAACACCTCTCTAGCTAGATTACTTACTAAGTTCTAAGACTCCATTCCTGTTCTGTCCCTGGCAAAAGCATCACACAGACAGAGAGAGAGGCTTTGTTTCTCCCCCCTCCAGCTTTGAAAGTATCTTGTCTCTTCATTGGTCATTTTGGTCAGGTGCCAGCGAGGTTCTCCTAGCTTCTTAACCCTTTACAGGTGAAAGGGCTTTTCCTCTGGCCAGGAGGGATTTAAAGGTGTTTACCCTTCGCTTTATATTTATGACTGGGGGTATACGTTGCTAAACCATTACGTAACATCTCCCCCGAGATTCCCCCTCCCTCTCTGCATGGCTGAAAGTAGGCCGGGATTTCCTAAAGCCCCACCATCAAATTCGGTCCTGGCATAAGTGACTCCAATGGCATTGTGCCTGCTTATGCCCAGGCTGTATTTGGCTTTTGCGGTCTACCTGCCTTCTGACGTGCAGGGACAAATATTTTCAGTGGGACTTCTGTGAAACGTTCCCTATCATGCCACACGTGCACTGGGATCTTCTTAACGTCAAGCCACGGTGACGCAGGAGGTCCAATGGAATTGGCAGCGTTCTGTGACACGCACCTGAGCTTCTGCCTCCTGCCTCTTTGGGCTCCCCGGGCTTGGCACTTACAAGCAAACTGTAGTTACTAGTCACTTACAACCCGGGAAGGAGAACAGGTAAATGGGATAAGTGGGTGTTGATATTGTGTCTCTGGTACATACAAAGACAGGGGCTGGCATGAAGGATTGCAAGCTAAAAGTTAGATCTGGTCAGAAAACATCCCCTCCCCCTGGAAAATTTCCATTTTGGGGGGCAAAAAATTAAAACTTGAGAACTTTTGACTGAAATTTTCATTTTGGAAACACTGCCGGGGTGCTTCATGAGAGCTGTAGTTAAAGTTCCTTGTGCTCCCATTCTTCTCCATAGGCTGGGGTCCCTGCATGAACTACATATCCCACGATACAGCTCCCCTCTACTGAGAAGCGATGGTGCATTATAGCAGATGTAGTCTGGCTGGGGAAGTCCCTCTGTACAGGAGAATGGGAATGCAAGGACTCCAAACTTCAACTCCCATGAGGCACTAGGGCCAGTTTTGGGTGTTCCTCTCCCCCCCCCCCCCCGAAAGATGAAATGTTCTGTGGAAAGCAGACCCTTTCCTTGAAAAACTTCATATAGTGAAAAACTCAGTTGTCTGTCAAAACAGATGGAAAAATTTTGCTAGTAAAAGTATATAACAGAATACCGAAAAGAGAAAATTAGTAATACTCAACACGTCACTTATCCATAGAACTCAAATGACTTTACAGAGGTAGATAAGATCTCTTCTTTCCAGATGGGGAAAACTGAGGAACTAAAGTCAAGTGATTTGCCCAAGATTACACAGCTAGTCCACTTCAAAGCTTGGAATAGAATCCACCCGTCCCAACCCTCTATCCTATCCACTGAACCATGTTAAATGAATAGCACCCACCACACATGTGAATGCCAAGCAGGGTGCCAAGCAGGCATTCACAGAATCATAAAAATGCCGGGCTGGAAGAGACCTTGAGGGGTCATATAGTCCAGCCATCTGTGCTGAGGCAGGACCAATTAAACCTAGACCGTCCCTGACACGTATTTGTCCAAACAGGTCTTAAAAGCCCCCAGTGATGGGGATTCTGCAACCTCTCTTGGAAAGCCTATTGCGGACCTCAACAGCCCTTAGAGTTACAAAGTTTTCCCTAATATCTAACCTAAATTTCCCTTGTTACAGAATAAGCCCATTATTTCTTGTCCTACCTTCAGCGGACACAGAGAACAATTAATCCCTGTCCTCCGTATAAGACCCCGGAATGCTTATCAGGTCCTCCCACAGCTGCCTTTTCTTATTAAACATGCCCATGTTTTTAACCTTTTCTCACAGGTCAGGTTTTTGGAATCTTTTATCAATGTTGCTGATCTCCCCCTGGACTCTCTCCAGTTTGCCCACATCTTTCCAAAAGTGTGGCACCCAAAAGTGGACTCGGTACTCCAGCTGAGGCCTCCCCAGTGCTGAGTAGAGCAGGACAGTTACCTCCTGTGTCTTACACTGACACTGCTGTTAGGGCATACTCAG